AAAAGGAAAAAAAAAAAAAAGTTGGCAGCGGCGGCTGGAGGTGAATCTGGAGTAATGAGAGCGTGGGGGGGGGCTCGCTGCTCCCTCCCCAGGGCGGAGGTGCCTGGGAAATGATTTTCAACAGGCAAAGAAAAATGAAGTTTAGGTAAAATTAATTCCTGTGGACGTTTATTGCTAGTTTAACTCATTTGTCAGACAGCAGGGAGACTACTGGGCAGGAACCTACAGAAAGCTAGAGCTGTGCCTTCCAGTCCCTTCTGTGTCTCATTGGTCAGGCAGGCCCAGAGCCACCCTCAGGAAGGGATTCTCCTGTGGTAGGGCTGATGTTTGGTCCTTCCATCAGGTGGAGGTCACAAGGAGCTGTATGTCTACCCGCAGGTCTGTAGTGCTCCTTGCAGGCAAGATGTGTGCAGGAGCTCAGGGCAGACCTGAACCTATGTATGCCAGTGCAGCATCAAGCCTGAGCTGCCTCACAATGCTCTGGCTTAACACCCTGCTCGTGCCAGGTGTTAGCATGGAGGACTGTGATTCCTTGTACATATTTGCAAAGCACACTAAAGATATAAAATTTTCAATAAGGTAACCAACCACCCTAAATATAATCCTGGCGATAGGGAGGGAAAACACATTTGTAGTTCCTCTCCCTTTTGGTCCAGGGAGAACCTGCCTTGAACATCAAGGTCCCCATCCACAAGAAACGGTGATGTGAAATCAAAAGAAGCATGGCCAGCAGGTCAAGGGAGGTGATTCTGCCCCTCTGCTCTGCTCTCGTGAGACCCCACCTGGAGTGCTGTGTCCAGCTCTGAGGCCCCCAACACAAGAAGGACAGGACCTGTTGGAGCAAGTCCAGAGGAGGGCCACGATGATGAGAAGGGTGGATCATGTCTCCTATGAGGACAGACTGAGAAAGTTGGGGTTGTTCAGCCTGGAGAAGAAAAGGGAAATGTTATAGCCCCTTCCAGTACAGGGCCTACAGGAGACATGGGGAGGGACTCTTTATGAGGGTGTGTAGAGATAGGACAAGGGGTAATGGTTTTAAACTGAAAGATTTAGATTAGATATTTGGAAGAAATTCCTTACTGTAAGGGTGGTGAGACACTGGAACAGGTTGCCCAGAGAAGCTGTGGATGCCCCATCCCTGGAAGTGTTCAAGGCCAGGCTGGATGGGGCTTTGAGCAACCTGGTCTGGTGGGAGGTGTCCCTGCCCAAGGCAGGAGGGGTGGAACTCGATGATCTTTAAGGTCCTTTCCAATCCAAACCAGTCTATGATTCTGTGATTCTATGAAATTCTGCTGCTGGACAGGCAGTCATGAGGGCCAGGAGAAGCAGTACCCAAATCATGAGCCCCAGTGAAAAAAATGGGACAGGGAGGAGTTGCTGTTGATCCTACACTGCTCTTCTGGCTTCCCTCCCCCTTTAGCCCACATGTCAGCAGCTTGATGGAGACAGAGAAAGGTGCTTCACTGGTGCAAACCAGCCCAGCTCTGCTGACAGCAGCACAACTTCACTGATTTGTACCAGATGAGGATTTACTTGTCGATATAGTATCATCTGCTTCGCTAGAGATGATAAATCTCCCAGAGATTTATTTAACCAGAGCCATCTCCATGGTTTGATGTGAAGGGGGTCTTTGTGACAGCCATGCCCCACACAGCACCCTGCCGGGTCCCTGGGGAGGGAGGCACAGGGAAACTCCACCCACCTCTCCTCCAGGCATCCCCCAGCTCAGCAAACTGAGACCAGGCGAGAAAGAAGGCGGTAACACTCAGAGTCAAACTCTGGACAAAACATATTGTCTCCTCCAAGGACTTTGGAAGTGCCTTCTCTGCATGGAGGGGTTCAGAGAGGCACTAACCCCCCAGCACTGGAGAAGATGCATTAGAAATTGATCTAGAAATGCCATGAAACCCCAGCAACACCTCTCTGCTGGTTTAGCAGCACTGTGGATTAGGCTGAAGAGCGGTTTTAATTTAGAGCTCTGCTGTGGGCAGAGTTGCCCAAGTTTAGACATCCAGACTGATGACACCAACTATTATTTTGCTTACCTTCCTTTTATCTTTTGAGATTACTCTGATGTCTGCTAATGTCGTAGGGAGAGAAGACTGTATTTGAATATAATATACAGAATTAAGACAAAACAATAACTCACACAGACCCTTGGTTTTCTTCATGTGTTATACCCTGCTCTTAATATTCTTGTTACTGAACTTAATCAACAGCTCATTACCAGGAACTGCTGGTCGTTGCTGTTCCTGATGGACTAGCTACTTGCTGGCGTTTTTCTTTCTCTCTGAGACATTTTGAATGACTAGTGTTGGGCAAACTTTCAACCCCCATGGATGTTTTAAAAGACAGGCAGTTCCTCTCCAGGAAAAGCTGGAAATTTCAGAAGCAGCAGAGTCTCAAGAAGAATGCCCACCCACGTTTCCCAAAACCAGACTTTGGTTGTTTACACAACTGCTGTTAAGCTGCGTGTAATGTTGCTCCTGTAGCACTTTCTGCAGCCTTTCCACATTCTTGTCCATGTGCCCCAGGAGAGCAGAGGTGGCCTGAGAGGGCCATGGGTTTCATGGTGAGCAGAAGACCAGGGACGTACCTTTATGTGAGTTGTGTGTGCTCCCCCCGGAGCACAGAAGGATGGCAGAGAGCAGTAGGATTTCCCTTCTGCTCACCAGCAAGAGTCTCTGGGCTCTTTGGGGTTATACTTTCAGACTGAAGAGTACAATTATATGAGTTTTCTACTGTGCTCAAGCAGCCTTTTCTCATCCACACCATTGCCTTAACTTTCTGACAAAGCTTTGGTTTTTACCTTTATGACTGTAGTATCATACCCTTCTAACTCTCTTTTTGTGACTATGTCCCAGCCTGCAATGACAATGAAACAGTAAAACACGAGGCTCTTTGTCATGCCATACTCCAGACCATGATGGTGCTTCATGGCTCATACAGAGCACCTGAGGTTATCGACATGAGGCTGTGATGCAATTTTCTCAAGGCATCCCTCCTTATCTATGCTGGGTACTCCTACACCTCAAATCCCCATGTACAGAGAAGAAACTAAGCCCCAGTTCTGCCCTGCTCACTGCCAAAGCCACGGTGACCACAGCTTGTCCACATCCACAGTCAAGGCTTGTGGCAGTGATGCCTACCAGGTCAGGAGGCTGCAGGGCTACACAAGCCCATAGGACCTTATCAAACACGGCCACACCGGGAAGCTGAGGGTCATCTGCAGAGCAGCCAAGAGGGCAGAAGGTGGGTGAGAAACACAGTCTGCAGTGCTTAATACCATACAGACATATCCAGAGCAATGAGAGAACCTGCCTAAGATCCTACAAGGAAGCTGTAGATGAGGGACTGAACTCTTCTCCAGAGACCTACAACATTAGAGGGCACTGCATCCCCTCTCCAGGGCACCAGCCACTTCCCATACAATAATCACAATATAAAAGACATGGGATGCTCTCGGGAGAACTACACAGAACTTGCACCGTCCCTTAGCCTAAAGTATTTGGCCCAACATTCCAGTTGTAACACAAGGCTCATCATTTTGGGAAGCAATGAATATTCTATGAACAACGGTTTTGTGTAAAAATAGCATATTTGTCTTGCTTTCCCTTACAAGCAGAAGTTTATTTTTGTTGCATAAAGATGGAGATCCAATATTCTGAGATTCAGTACAGACACAGCCTTCTAGAGGCATTTCATAAGGTGGGAGGGTAATGGCCCGAGAGTTGCTAAAACCATATTTGGTAAATTTAGAGTCTAAGCAATACTAAATCTATGTAAAATAAATAAGGAAGGTATATCCACAGTGTTCATTTGAGACCTTGAGAGGCTGCTTAATATTTGGCATAAAAGTATGTGAGGTTTTTTTTCTGTCTTAAGACTGTCGTATCTGGAAATGATGGTGCAAATGTATATAGTTTGCAAAATTTTTAAGGCTGTTTTTTTTAATTGAAGCTATGCCCTCTTTAACACTTAGTCTTGACTATTTCCTATTGACAGTCACTAAAACAAAGAGTGCATATTAATGCAGACGAGAGTTTCATTCACAGACAGCGAGCTACAACAGGATTATTTGCAAGTGCAAAGATCACTCACATGAATAAAGATTTGGTGGATCAGTGCCTCTGCTGATAAAATGAATAAAATCCTCCAAACACAATCCAAATATGTTTTCTTGCTACTTATCCAAGCAAGAATACTTTTGCGTTGTTCCAGTTTAATTAACTGAAAACACATAATTATTAATGAGAGCTCCGATAGGGCAGGAGAGGAAACACGCTTCTCAGTGATCAACTTGCAGCCACAACACAAAACCCAGTTCTGTTTGTGCAGGAAAAGCAACCCCCTCCTGCTACATTATTCCATTGATCTACAAACATTTACATCTCCTTTGTTAACTAGTTTTCTGTAGAAATTTCATAATCACTAAGGAACGCTCTTACAACTGCACCTCAAGAAGCTTCTGTGAAGTAAACTTGGATCAGTCTGAAAAACAGGGTCTATTTTTGCCTAACTCGTGTTACATATCAAATCTGCCAGGCTTTTCTTGGACGTTCACGATTCATTGTAAATAATTCAAACTGAATTTACAAAAGAGAAGGGGCTGTACAATGAACGTTAAGAGCTGCACATCACTATATCCCCCACAGTCAAAACTAATACAAGTATTTCACAAAGCTCGATCACAAAACATTTTCTCCTCCTCTTTCACATTGTTTTGTGATCTAGATTCAGCATCAGGTTGATGAAAACAAACAGTTTTGAGGATTTCTGTCCAACTTAACCTAATTAACAAGTTCTTGTGGCTACAGCAAGAGAACACCCTCACCTCAGTAACCTCTGTTATCTGCACAAGGTGCACTGAAACTAACCAAAGACAACTTTAGTAGCTCACAGATAAACAAGAAACACCTTTGAAATATCATTGCAGCAACGTTAACCCTCCCCTGTGTGCACCTGGGCTGCTACAGGAGACCAACACCAAGATCACACTCTTTATTTGTTCATGTATTTATTTAGGACTATGCACTTTTACAAGTGTTCTGAGTTACAGCAAGTAATAACACATTTTGAAAAGTCACATTCAGCTCCAAGTTTCAGGGTTTAAATCCCATCTTTAAGATGCTTTACAAAAGTGATGCTGGTGCTGCACAATATAAGCAACTGCAGACACAACACAGATCTGGCTTTTTGCACCCACTTTTTTATTAAAGTGATCAGGAGGTGAAGATCTGTCTTAAGAACAGTTAATGAGCAGCAGTTTTCTGTTATGCACACTTATGGAAGACAGCACAAAAATATGGAATCAACCAATAAAAGATTAATAATTCACTTATGTTCTGGAATTCATTAAAAAAGTGCAATTAGATCTGAGCTTACCACCACCGAGGAAGACAGGCTTTCTCCAACTACCTGGTTTAGGTCACACCAGTTCCTCTAGTCGAGCATTTCTAGTATGGAATCACTCTCTATCAACAATCCACTCATTTTGAAAACACACTCTCATCACTTTCCCTACCCGAAAGCCTTTAAATTGATGTAGAATCAATAGCAGCCCTTATCCTACAGGGGTGTTTGAATGCCAGAGTGTGGAAAGCTCTCAGCACACCATACTATCACCGCAAGAATTCAGGGGGATTTGTCCTGTGATTTGTCCTCCAGCCCCAACCCTGACCAATGGTGAGATGAATTCTCTGCTGTAAAGCCACATCCATCCAGCACCATCACTGCAGCCTGGCCAGTACCATGGGTGCTGTTCTTCCAAACAGGAGTATTAAGGAGAATACAACCAGTGTACAGTGAAATAAGGAATGCAGACAACATGGGTTTATTTAAACCAAAGAGAGTCCTCCATTCTCCTAACATACTACTTTTTCATTGATTCCACTTAAATCAGTGGAAATTTTCTGAAAGGTTTGTCAGTTAGGTTGACGGTTGGACAAGATGATCTTTGAGGTCCCTTCCAACCTAGAAGATTCTGTGATTCTGATTCTGTGACTTCTATTCTAGTGCTATGGTTGCTGCAGGGAAACAGAGAAACTATCCACAATCCCTCAGTGGAAATGCAAAAGCATCCCACTTTGTTGGATGCGCTGACCCTGGCAGCCACCAGTAGGTAGTTCAGCAGGTGTTGAGCCTTCTCATTACTCAAAAGAATAATTCCCAGCTCATGCATCAAAACTCAGCCACAGCAGATCTCCACTTCGGTCTCCCCATCTCCTGGCTAACATGATCTTTCCAGGAGACAGGCAAATATAGTAAGACGAGCTATAGAGAAGCCTATAGGTGGCACTCTTGGCCTGACACAACACTGAAGGACCATGAAGCCCTGGTCCTCCTGTCCCTTAGAGGACAGAGGCCCCTGTCAGTTTAGAAACCCATTAAAAGCATTAATTCCACACAGCACTTTTAATTATCATTTTAGATTTTATTGTCAACACACCTAAAAACGGAAACCTATGTTCAAAACAATTACTTCTGAGAATACTGAAGTACAAAATATTTCACACAGAAGTTTGTTATTGTAACACAAACAGAAATGAGATGTAGAATATACCGATGTGTATCACGTGTGCTCCAAGTCACAAGTTTAAGAACTGCATCACTACAGAATTGTCACACAGGCCTGGAAAGTGAGCATTTGACTGTTTTTAGGTATCACCTCCGCATTTCTAGTATTACACATTTACTTGGAAACTTCTTAGCAGTGGACAGAAAACATGATAATTTTGTCTTCAAGGTTCGTTTCGAAAGCACCATGACAACACACTGTTCAAACTACTTCCGTACAGAGGGAAGTCTAAACAGAGACAATTATTGCAGTTATGGCTTTTTAGGGGTAATGTTTATTATTATCTATGACAGGTTTGTGAATATACAATAACAAGCAAAATCAGCATTTCCAGGTAGTTCCTCCAGGAAAGCAAAACCAGTGTTGACCATTTCAAATTTTTTCTTTTTATACTGAAGAAAGCAAACTCTTATACTCTATACAAAAAGTTTTCCCTTCTTCTAGACTCTGTAAAACTAAACTAACCCGAACACACAAAACTTCTTCATTGGTTAGCAGCAAAGAAGTTCTGCCAACTTCACACAATAAATAGATTTCTGCTTAATTCAGATTTATTTCCAAAGGAGCAACATGACTAAATGAGTTGTCTCGGACAGCGACACACGTCTCACGCTGCATCACCCAGACCCTAAGCTTAGTCAGAAGGGGAGAGAGGAACAGAGCAAAGGGAAAGGAATGTCTGTTCTAAAACCACTCAGATTTATGCTGCACTTTGCTTTTCTCTTAAAGGTCCCAAAGAAAAGTTCCCTAAAGCTACCTCAAGGTTACTTCTCACACAAGCAAATTCAATTTTGAACAGCATCTTTTCCTGAAAAACTGAGATATCCCTGCAGTCTGACACTTAATGACATTCCTGGCTTGAAACACCACATATTCGTCACTCTCCTCCCCTCATCGTTTGCTTGATCGCTTTTCATGCTTATCCTTTGTGTGCTGGTTCCTGTTTCGGTGCCTCGGAGGAGAGTAGCTGACTCTCCTTCTGGACTGAAAGCTGGGTGTATATGGGTGAATTCTGCGTTTCTTTGGTTTTTCTTCTTTCCTGCTTTTGTTTGGCTCAGGCTCCTTACTGTCTTCCTTTTGCTCACGTTCCTGGTCTTGTTCTTTTTGAGACGGTAACGTGTTTTTGATGGTATTAATAAGAAATCTTTTATTTGTACCAGCAAGAGGACATTTCAACCTGCAAAGACATTGAACAGTGATCAAAAGACAAGATAAAAACATCCTGAAACAAGTCTGAGATATTAACTTCAATAATTTTAAGACAGGTTTGTGCTTTTGGCTTTCCTTGCATGCCACCTAGTGTAAACTCTCAGTACAGAAAGATGTTCAAGGTTGTCTCCATTCTTCTTTTATCTCACTCTTTATAGGAGGAAAATTATTTCATTTCAATACAGTGAAAATCCACATGGTTTTCACAAGGTAGTGTGTGCAGGGGGAAGCAGAGGATGACAATACCTAAGTTAAGCACCATAAACCTTAAAACACATTCGGGAATCAAATATTTAGTAGCATATCTTAAGTCAAATTAAACTGGTTTTCAAGATCACAAGCTACTAAAGTCAGCATTATTTAACAAACTAAGATACTTTGAAAGTAAAAGACACACTTGCATGAATCCAAAAAGCTGTAGCAATAAAACAGACATGAAACATACCAATTTTAATTTATATTTGGCCACCACCAAAGTATTTTATTTCTTTTTCTTAAACAGAAAGGATACTTATCCAACTCTTTTCCATTGCTTCTGACTTTCTCCTCTTGCAGCTTAACACTTCTGCACATAATTTATCAGCTAATTTTAGTAAACCAGTACTCTACATTTTGTTTATCTTGTTGGTATCAGTTGTACACTACTTATTCCCAGTTTATCATCTCTTAAAGAATGGAATGAGAAAAAACAAGTTTGATTATGTTCCTGCAGTTTATCTTGACAGCATTTTTGAGTCTGCATGCTAATGGAGAAGTTACGGGATTACTCTAAAAAACAGCAGAGCTGTTGGAGACCACAAAGCCACTTATACCATCAACTATGGAGTCAAAGAATCCTAACACCACAGCGTTAAGATCATCTGTTCTAGTTGAATATTTTGCATAAGTGTAGAAACTACATCCTGGCCATTTAAAAACTTTTTACATCTCTGAATAATCAGAGGTACCAGAACAACAAGAAAATTGTAACGAAGATCACATCTGATTACTTACTGTGGTGTTCGCTTCATGTCTGCCTACTAAGCATTACTGGTAATTGTTCTTGTCCTAAATTCTCAAAAAACTTATGAGAGTCATTGTAGAATTATACATTAAAGAGCCACATTGTTTATTTCCACTGGGCATTTCTTGACACATTTCTACAGCACAGCTAATTTTGGAGTTTTCTAAACTTTCTGCATATAAATCTACACTGCTTTCCTTGAACTGTGCTTCAAAAGAACTCATAAAAAAGTCTAGATCTGTATCTAGCATTGGAGTTTTGTAAACAGTATTTATCTGTTAACTTGATTACTGAGTAAAAATACAAGGGTAATATATGTCAGTAGGGTTTCTGCTTCAAGCTACAGCAGCTATGAACATGGTGCTGAACACACCACAGCACAGGTTACACTCAAGACGTAACACAAGCCAGCCAACATTTAAGTCCTCTGTCTGTCCTGTGCCATCATTAAACTGTCGTACCTCAACATTTCCTAACGAGGAGGGCAGCTTTCTCTAGGCTGCATCCAGGCAAAAACTATTTCACATTTTTCTCCTTCCTCTTGCTTTTTCATAAGAGGTAATGCATTGATTAAGCACTAATATATAGCCCCAGAATGAGACAATCTGCCCTAAATACATTCACCTTGCTGAAGTATTTATTTCTTTTTGGCACTATGAGTGCTGCCTGAGCTATACTAAGAAAGAAAACTGATGAGAAAAGCAGGGCTTCAGGATCAGATAAGAGATGCCATTAGTTCACCATGATACAGTGATAAAATCGAGCCACCGGGCTTTCACAGAGCAGCAGCAAGTTATGGCCCAGAAGAGAAACCTCAGTCCTTAGTTTTATTGACCTCAGACTTCAATAAAGCAAATTCTGCCTTTAAGTCTTGGAGGAAATGAGAGGTATGGCATGTGCTAGGTTACACACACACAAGCCCGTCATGTTTACATACATCCATGGTATATATGGAACAGTGAAGATGAAAAGGGAACTGTATTAATCCACTGATATCTTTCTTTGAGAGCATTCCTAATGGTGAGGAAATTGTAAAACACTGCTACAGCTGACCTCCTAAAGACAAGCACTCCACAGATAAGTCCTGCACAACCCAAAATCTCTCCACTACTCTATGACAAAACAGTCAACAGTGCATTTTGAGCAAGAAGAAAAAAAGATTAAATCAGTTATTGCGAACACAGGTCAAATCTTAACTCTACTTTTGACACTTTAAGCCAACTTCTGTGGAATAACACACAATTTCCAGCCAACACCTTTCACCAAGCAGCAGTGCAGTTCAGCACAGAAGTGGACCATACAAGCTCTAAACAGTAAAACATGCTGACCCTAATTTAAGACCCTAGTGTACAGTGCCATGTGCCACAGTCTTTTCTCACTGAGTAACTGGACACAGCAAACCCAGCCAGCCTCATCCCACAGCGTAAATCTCATCTTTCCAGGAAACAGAGTTCATTATGCATGAACTTACAAGTACATGTCTACCACTTCCCAACTGCCATGGAAAATACGGTACTTAACAGAAGAGTGACTAAAGGCCAAAAAACCAAAAAAGCAGCTAGAGGTTGTTTTGCCAAACCAATTAATTGAGGCTCTTATCCTTGCACTGGAGATCTCACAAAAGAGGATGCCTGGGATGACACTGCAAGCTTTTATGTATGGTCTTGGCAGCTGATACATCTGGTAGGACTTTGGATGGGAACCTCTGCTCCGATCACAAGATTTTAATGTATTTCCTTTGCAACCTCTGTCTGTACCCTGTTTCTCCTCCTTGTCACATTCAAATGAAAGAGACATAGTGGAATCACATTGCAGTGTCTCTGCACAGTCACACAACACCCACTCAAAGACAAGATGCAATACAGAATTTCGCAGTTCCCAGGCTCTCAAACTCTTCGGCCTCATCTTCATTATTTTGTAATCTGCAGTATTTCTGGCTATCAGATTTGATATTGAGCAGAAAGCTATATATAGGAGTGAAAGCAATTTTAGGATTGCTTTGCAATAGGGCTAAAAATAATTTAATGCTTCCAACATCTATCTGCTTTTTGCAATTTCATCTGCTCTTACAATGCAGAGCTGAACAAACCATCCCAAAATATCTTGTTTTCCACATCTTATTTTAGGTAAGCTTCTAAAGTAAGCCAAGAAGATTACATTCAGTTCAGCCTTAGCTCAATTGCTACCATCATCTTTGAAGGCCAGACACATACACTGGAGAGAAAAATAAAAAAAAAAAAGCCTCCAGAACTTGTCCATACAGTAGCTTTTGTGGCATTTTAACTGCCTTTTTCAATTCAAGCAAAACAACCCCTTAAAATAGGGCCTAACTCCACTGCTAGAAGAAGCTTATGAATTATGTACATAGGACCGACAAAACCACTTAGGGAAAGCTGAGCTTTTAGCTTGATTTTATCTAGACACACAAGGAAAATCCCAATACCTCACAGCAGTATTCCATCTGATGAATCCAATAGTTTCAAATGTTCTTACGCTATTTGTCCAGAACTTCCCATCCTGGACCCTGCTGGCCCTTCAATCATTAACTTTCCAACAGCTGCTCTCATGTATTTTCTCACCTCAGAAGTTCCAGCATCACTGGGACTTAGCCACAGACTCTACTCTTTGCTCAACATTTCCAAGATTAAGACACCATCTGAAGTAAATCCTCTATTACCCTTCTCTAACACATTTTCTTGTGATTAGCTCCACTAATGCTTTGAACCAGACACACCATCAAGAGGATCTACATCATGTGGTATCATAAGGATGTAGGAGACCCTCAGCAAGAATCACTACAGCCATAGAGTACATACAAAAAAGAGCATTGCTGTAACTAGAAATACTGCAGTGTTGAGAGCAAGAATCTTGAGAACATCCAAGGAACAAGTCAGTACTTGAAAGTGAATAAAGAGAGATCTACAAATATCCAGTATTTCTTGGATTAATTTGCCATGGACCTAGACACTGTATATCCAGTCCTGAGAGCATGGAGGCCAAGGGACTTAGATTCTTTACCAACTGGGAGCTCATGCAGCCCACTGACAGTTGCTCCATGTCCAGAGAGTCTCAGATAATTTCCTTTCCTGTGTACACTCTTGCCGGATACCACTGCCAACCTCCCTATTTGGGACAAACCTCTCTTCTACTAGCATCTAATCCCTACGGGTAGGCAACACCTACCCATGTCACCCAAAGCAAACTTGTAAGACAACATAACACTGGCAAAACATTCCCAAAATGGACAAAACGCTAGCAACACTGTCCCATATTTCAAGTCTTCATATCAGACTGTGGGCTAAAGGATGACTGCTTGGTACATTTCTTCTGTACCTGTCAGCTACACCAGCTTAGACACTTGCAACTTAGGCTCAAACAGCCACGGACTATGCATCTCACGAGGAGACAGTAAAAAATTAGGTAGGGGTGCTTGGGGAAACGCACTTGAGCTATGGAGAACTAATGACTCTGGATAGCAATGGAGCAGTGGCTTGGAACCTGAAAGCAGCCCCCAAACCCTGTTCAGAGGCTTGCTGGCTAAGGTTTTGCTGCCATCAACACACACCTAAAGACACTACTGCTTTGTAATGGTATGTACAATACCCAGGAATGCCACCTCCCCACATACCTCCCTTGAACCAATTCCTGTAGAACGTCACTGACTCCAGAAATGTATTTCCCAGTATCCAACAGCTGCTGGAGATCAACATAAACTGGAATCAGCAAAGTATGAGCAGTAGCAGCCTCTGCTTCTCCTTACCCAAAGACAGATGGCAGAACAAATCTTTTCTTCATAGGCCGAGTTGCTTCAACTATCCAGTTCCAATGGAGGATTGATGACCTTACACTAGATGTTTCCAGGGTTTGTGCATCTCTTCTCCAGGACTCCTCTGACAAGGGGCTGAGGAAATCCCAGAAGTCCTCATGAAACACACCTGTAAGCATTTTGAATTTGGCAAGGAAGGAAGGTTTTGTGCTTTACCTGTTAAGACTCTGCTTTTAGACAAGTTGGCGATGACCTTGTCTCTGCTTCTACCAGTTATGCTATCCTGAATTTGATCTACTAACGCACATTTTCATGAACTAACTTTTCTGCTCATTTCATTTGGTATCCACAAAGCTCAGAGCAGCAGTCACCTTCCTCTCAGTGCTTTAGAGTTGCAAGGTTACATGTCAGTCCTAGATCTAATAAGCCCTTCAGGACTTACTTCATTTTGCTGGAGTGTCTTACCGGTTACCTCGTCTCCCAGGTGTATATGCAATACCTCATTGTTGGGCCAGTTCAGAAAGACCAAAACAGCACAATGGGGCACGAAAAATATTAAAGGGAAGACAGTAGTGGCAGCCTCTGTCTGCTGTTTTGTCTCTTGGGCTTGCACAGCTAGACACCAAAGGCAGTCAAAATTGGCAGTCTACCTACAGGTGGCTTTATAGCTTCATTACAGCCACACACACACCAGCTGTACACTAGCCTATGCCAAACTCTGTGGCAGCAGATTTGTGATACATGGGATTACTACCAGTCTCCCCAAGGATAAATTCAGAGAAGGGAAAATCCCTGGAGAAGCACCATCTAAAAAAAAAAATTTAAAAATCATTTCTGAGTGCAGGATATCCTGAGCCGCAGACTACCCAAAGCTGGGACAGCACCTTGAGGAAGTAATGTTACTTTCTCGTACTTTTGTTCCTCCATTTTTGAGCTACTGGGTATCGGCCACTGATGAAGACATGGCACCACAGAGATGGGCCCTTTGTGTGACCCAGTATAGCTATTCACAGGTTTCTCGGCAATTGAAAGGATCTTTACTTCAACAGTCTCAATTCAGGTATCACCACACCAGTGCCCATGACAACAGTCTTCCTCCACCTGAAGCTTTCTTGACAATCCTCTCCTCCTACAACTTTAACACAGCCCTGGCCTAGACAGACACTATTTCACTCTAGTGCAATCTGCAGCTGTTCTGAAGAACAGGTCACCCTTGGATATCCCCTCCTCTGGCAGGTCTTGGGCACTGGGCTTCAGCAAACTGAACGTGACCCCGAGCTCATCATCACAACCAGCTCAGCAGGACCACTGCTCTCTTACACATTAGGAATAAGAAGTAGCTGGAGCCAGGAGTTGAAGGCCATACACGCTCCTGGCAGGTATTCCAGACCGCACAAGAGGCAGCAAAGTTGCACAGGGACACTCAGTTATCTCCCAACAGAAATCTTTAGTCTCCACACCTTGAATTAACTTGCAAATTCACAGTAACTGGATGTATGCAACACTACACGGTGCTAATTATCTGCCTGGGTTCACCTGGCCATTTGGCAAGGCTGACAGGGTAAAAGCCTGCTCTGTCAGTACAGCTATAACCACTCTAGGGGATTAAACCAATTTTAGTTTTAACAGAACGGGTATAAACTGCATCCCTAGCAGAAATACTGGGTAAAGTATCTACAAAAATGCCAAAATTCTTTAGAAAATATGAAGGATGAACTTTTTTCAGCAAGATGCTATTTTAACCTCTTCAGAGGTACCAAAACAAACATATTCAAAAAATCAGCTGAGAACTTCATTAACCATGGAGGCTTATCTTTTACTGCTGTTGGTGGAGGAAGTCAAACCTTATCTACAAATGAGTTTAACCCAGTCAACTGGTGCACTACTTGTGTGCACATCCCTAGATCCGATAGCTTATCAGTCATACCCGTTATTTTAAGATGAATGACTCTTCTCAGCATGTTATTACTTCTTTAATTACAGTTATATGCGTTACATTCCATGACAGTCTAGTTGTAAAAACTGAGACACTGCATTGAAGAATTAATACTGTATTTCACTTAAGATTTAAATACTGTGATTCTTTTCCTACTTGCTATACACATTAGCCCTGGGGTTTAGGGGTTCTTTTAGTATTAAAAAAATACCTCCTTCCAAAATTGAACTATACTTTGAATTCACTTTCAGCTGTCATTTACACATGGATTCTCTACTACAGAATCATTTAATATTTTTATTGTTTTAAGGGTTTAGGTTTCCTTGTCAGGCTATGAACTCTTTTAACTTAAACAGAATCTAACCCACTAACATGTGGCCAGTATGTAACTACACACACACACTGAAGCTACCCAGCATTTTAAAGATTCACGAGGTTCCAATTCAAAGTTTGCAATTCCATCTGTTATAAGGAAACACTATATAGAAGGTACACCCAGTTTTCCAATTGCTTTGACTTAGCACATTCGGTCAAGCAATTTCATGCAGGGAGAATTTACTTCAACTTCTTTCTTATCTTGGCTCAAATTTCTGCCCAGACAAATTAATACCTAGATGAAGACAAATTACTTAAACATGAAGCAAAGGCAAAGACTTCTGTCATGCATTAAATGTAAAATTTATTTTGGCATCAGTCATAGCATTCATTTCCTCTTGGCACAACTTACCAACCCATAGCTCCCATTGTTTCAGCTCTGGTTCTCCCACGTTTTGCCTCTTTAAGTAACTCTTCCACAGCCTTCCTAAATACGAGGAAAAGAAAAAAAGTTACCACTTGCAGAACACAAGAACTTGCCACTTTATACACTTATGTAAAGGAAGTGGAGCGCTTCTTCACTGTAATGAATTAAGCAATAAAGAGGCTACAAAAATCACCCTTACTTATTAATTCAGATTTCCATGCACCAAGATTAAAGGAAACATTTTGACATATTAAAAGCAATTAAAGCTGCTGCAAAAACAACAATTGCAATACTAACTAAAGAGTAGAAATAAAGCATGCAAAACTGGTATACTACACTGAAATGTCCCTTGGGAACATTCTTTGCTGCTGTCACTTCACTTAGGTTCTTCCTAAAGTCTTTCAACCGCAGCAGACCTATTTTGAGCACAGTTAAACACGACCAGTGAAATAGCAAGCAGTCAGATGACAGTAAAATCACTGCAACTATCAGTTGTCAAACTGCACTAGCTTTGTGTAACAGTGAAAGAGCTCACCTTTGTGACTATGATCCACCACCACCCAAAATGACTAACCTTTACTGTATCATCATCTTCTAGAACAAACTGGCCAGACTAACACTAAAGCAATTAAATAACAATGATCACATAAAAAGTCACTGAAGAGTGTGATTTATGCAAATTATAGGTAAATTCCTGCAACATCAGTCTTTCAGTTCTCTTTACAAATTAATTTCAACCTCAAATAAAACTTAAGTAAGTACTCTACAGTACATGGTTGAAGTTAATGGGAAAACCAATGAATGGATAATGTGAGCCATTTATTATATAAATTGAATGCATAAACCAACAATTTGGTTAGTTAACTCTAACCAACTATATATGCCAATCAAAACCAACCACAATACAGAAAAGGAAAGCTATGCACCTGGCCATAACATCCAGTATATGAAGCTAAGCATTAACAATACTGACATGGGTAAGACTGAAGGCTTGAGGAACTGAAGGCAGGAGGTAATAAAGAGGGTGTTTATTGTTTAGGTGTCTCAACTATAATATGCCAGAATAACTGCTGGTGTTTCAACTACATGAGCAATACAATCATAATCTCGATAGTACAAATGTGTGTATAGACTGTGCAAGAAAGGTAACTGCCAACAGACTTCAACTCAAACTTCAAGGGTGTCATGTCCCATCATGTTGTTATGGTGTTGTCAGCATAACAGGATTTTGCTACTTTGCCACAGATTAAAAAAAACCCTGAGCATCAATTTTGTTGTCAAGCCAAAATTGAGACTAGAGAAGTCAATAGTCATCATATAATAGCAGAAGCAGCTCTGAAGAAAAGTAAACCATTTATATGGCAGGCCCATGTGAAGACCTAACAAGTTCATGCTGGGCTCTAAACATGTAACAGGGGGCTTTTTTTACCATTTAGGTTATTCAAGTCTACATAGACAACACAAGAGGTCTTAGCTTTAAATACATATACTGCATGTGCATAAGAGGGAATGAAAATAAGCAGTACAGAATTTCCTTCAGCAGCTAATGAGAAAACGTTACGCTGTTACACAGCAGTCTACATCTGTCAGTCTAGATATAACTTTCTTCATTTTGTTATGGCCTTAACATAAGCCTTTACCATCTCCCTTCACATTTGTGATGATGGATTTGTTCATTCCTTAGGACAGGCTGGTGACATTTTACAAACACAGACACACTTCTTCTGCCTGTATTGCTTTTGGACAGCTTTGGTTTTCCCTGGCAACAGAAAACAAATTGCTACTAAATGAGTACAAGTGAAATGTACACTAAGGTGTAGCTACTCTTCCTACAGCTACTCTGCAGTTCTGCCTCAATGTAGTCTTAGTATTTTATACTTACAACTAGCTATCATGGAACTACTTTCTCACTTTATAGTAATTTCCAGCAAGCAATACTTTAGCTAAAGATTCTTAAACAAGCCTCCAGAATTGGTCACAGTTCTCAAACATATAAATAATCCTTGATCAACTTTTATGTATATATATACCTTTGTTCCAAGGGGAAACGATTCCATCCAGCATAAGCTGAGGTCTGTGCCAGATGGACACGTGAATACTCACAGGTCATAACTTACTTCCTTTGAGAGTTTGCATTTGAAGGGCTTTGCAAAGGAAAGCATCCAACACTTCCACAGAAACAATAGCAGACAAATGCACAAAAAATTGTAGTATTGCTTGTCTGTGCACTAGTCTACTAATGGCACATTGGTTTAAGGCTCCTCACAGAAGTCTTTCTCTTTCTCATATGAAGTTCCTAACACGATCTCAGTAGCAGCTGGGATTGGGGTACTTTGAATCCTTTTTTAAGCATGTCTGATTGAGAGGACATGTTGCATATCCCATCACAGGACAGGCATTCATGGACACTGCGTTATCTGCCCAGGTAAGCTGTCACCTTTGGAATCACCTGCACCCAGATGCTAAGTACAGTGTCAGCAGCCCCGTCAGCTACTGCCACCTTCCCAGGTAGGAGCAGTGGGGTGTATGGGACAGCTACTGCCAAGAACAACAACAAAAAGGGTAAAAAACCACAGGCTCTACCACTGGAACATGGGAGATGTTGCATACACAGGTCTCCATGAAATTATGGCAAAATTTCTTTTTTGTCCAGACCCAGACTTTGCTATCTGAGCAGCCTGAGCTAGCTTATAGTGATGACAGCAGGAACATGTGGCCTTTATAAAAGCTTGTCCTGAGCCTTCAAACAGCAATGTCAGATGAAGGGGAGGAAAAAAAAAAAAAAAAAAAGAACCGGACTATAGAGACATTTTTATCATTAGTAATGCCATTAAACCTCAGGGATAGCTGAAGATCTGAGACCGTATCGTCGAAAAATGCAAAAAAAAAAAAAAAAAAAAGCACCTGACTTTTACTTACCACAATTAACCAAACTTAGTGATTCTGTTTTGAGAAACCTGACTAGGGGGCGATTAAAAGCCACTATATCTTTCATTATTTTATAATTAGAATCATAAACCAAAGTGTCTGAGCTACAAAGCACCAATAAAATACACACATTTTAAATAGCTATGATTCAGTTTTAGGGAAAACATCACAATAAATTCATATGGTGACATCAATTCTATTAACTTAAGTAGGAATTATAAGCCAATAAGTATTTGAGACTTTTTTCCCCTCTGGTTATATCAGAGATCAGACTGACTCTTAGCAGACTTATAACTTGACATCTTCCTTTCTTATCAAACACTGTTTCCTAATACTGGTGTTTCAACATCACTCTTATTCACTGCACCTTTACAAAGCCCTTTGACTTGCACAGACAAATGGAAAAATGCTCAGATCCTCTTTGAAATCATGTGTTTCCACTCACTGAACTTATATCCTCTACACAAGTAAGCCAAAAGCTTAGAAGCTATGCAAACAAGGTTTTTACATTTGCTTTTAGAGGCCTCTTGGGACTCAACATTCCTCACACTCTTCATTTTTACAGCTTGGTTACAATACAAACAGTCCTGTGGCTGCCAACTCCAGCTTCAAGAGTAGCAGCATGAGCAAAGGGAACACAGCACACAACTTTCACACGAGAACCACCCAAATACCAGGGGACTGATAGCAGGGAAAATTAGGGACAGGGGCATATTTAAGAACACTGGCATGATTCTGGCATCTTTTATAACAAGCACCACTTAAAACTTGCTGTGGCAATCCTTTCTGAGCAATCAAGCTTAGCTGCAGAATTACAGTAACATGAAGGTATAAACAGTGATATTTTTATCTTCAAGAGTATGGCCCAAGATCTATTTACATTTCTGAGGGATTAGATTTTTTCCTCTATATTCCAAGGTTACAGGCAAAGCTCCCGTTGCATAAATCCTAACAACTTGCATCATGAATACACATGTCCAAAGAGAGGGAGAACGTTAAAGGCTCCAAAGCCAGGCAAAACCAGAGATATTTTCTATTCCTCGTTCAGGGAAAGAGCATCATTGTTTTTTCCAAAAGATCAAACAGATAGACTGAAAAATGAATAATCGGTAATAAAGAGGTACGTCTGATACAGTTACAGGCAATGAAAACACCGTGTCATTATAGAGACCACCCAATGTTTGTAATTATAGACCACTCTGTTAGGAGCAGACACGCTGGATCTGACAGCCAACAAGCCAGGCAGCCACAGCTCCAAGCCCAGGTCCAACCAGCAGTAGGGCTGGAAATCCACTCCCTGCAGGCAGACACACACACCACACGTATGCACCACTGGCCACACTGATCACAGACAGACACACAAAGCGCTCACACCAACAGCTCCATCCTGCTCTTCTCTCTGGGCAGGTGTAGGAGCCCCCAGGGCTTCAGCCCAACTCCAGCTGCTGGCACAGACCATCACACACAGCTGGCTGAGACCTCTTGGTCCTCCAGTACCCAACTCCACTGGTCTTGCCCATGGAGACACACAGGTGCACATACGTGTCTTGCTCCTGGAGAGCCCCGACCCTACAGTATCTCCAGCCAGCTCCTCCCATAGTCTTGCTCTTAGAGACTCACATCCCAGCTCCCACCCTAATTCACCCACTCTTGATCTTCACTAGTGGCCACATAATCTCTCATGCACCCACACTTTCTCCATTACTGCAGCACAGATAAATAGGTCCCCAATCCCACTCTAGTGGCTGACACTTGGTTTTACTCATTCTATGAAGTGTCCCCAGCTGCTGGCACCTACTCTCCAGCCCAGGGTCCCAGCCCAACTGCTGGCATCCAGACCCGAGCTTGTTCCAGCTTCTGGCAGTGTGGACACATGGTTCTTCTGACCCATGGTTTCACTCTAGTTGCTGGCACTGAGATGTACACCCTCAAATACAGTCCCTCACCCAAGAAAGAGTAGAAAGGAATTCAAAAGGAGGACAGGACAGACTGCACTGACCAGGCACAGGGCACAGCCAGTGTACCAACCAGCAGCCCATTCACACACAACCAGACCTTTGTATCCCCTTATTCCTCTATTTTCCCACTCTTGCTTCTCACAAAATCACCTGAACCCGTCCCTTCCCCCATCTTTGGCTCCTCCCCTACACATCCCATAATAAGCCTTATACAATCTCAAAATGCTCTTCTTCTGCATCCCATAATTCGTTCCACACCCCTAGGCAGCAACTCCCTTAAGTCACAAAGGCGCTCCAGCACTGACTCATCTTGATGGGTGTCATGCCTGGAGGCCAAGGCTGTCTCAAGGGACCAGCCCTGGGAGGGGCCCAGAGAAGATGTTCATTTCTCCAAATCCTTACTGTGGGTTCCCACCTGCCAGTGTGCCTCTGTATTCTGCTGGGCTCCTGGAAATAGACCTCTGATGGGCTGGTAGCTCCTGGGACGGACCTGGGAGAAGCCAGAGCTGGGCACTATTTGGGCTACTCCATCCACCATGGTCTCTTTAGTCCACTGTGGGTGTGCCCAGGAGCTTTTGGCACACAACCGAGAAAACTCTGCCATCTCCACCCACGTCATCATCTCACTAAAGATCCTAATGAGAACTCTAATGAAAATATATCTACTGGAATTGCTTCACAGCACGCAATCGGCTTCAGAAGTACACCAGCATGGAGCAGGAGGGCAGTGTTCCTATTCAACATTTCCCAGAGTCAGTCAAGGGACATCTTTATCAAACATATCTTCATAGAAGACCTTCACAGCATTAATAACTGCTTGCAATCTATACCACTATTATTCAAGCTCAAAAGCCAGGCTTCTTGGCTACTGTGATTCCCAAAATCATGCTCAAACCTACCTCCTGAGGCACTCTAGGTCCTGACAGCAAGCTGCAAACCTTGGAAAAAAACTAGCAGTTTTTAAAATCCATTTTCTCAAAGTAGTTTTATGCTGACTGTAGAACTTATTTTTAACCATGCATGGGACTGGAAATAGAAGTGGATGTTGGTATTCTGATTACATCTGAATAATTAATATCAAGACCTTCGGTCACGTAAAGGACTAAAGATACTGCCTTCTACAATAAAGGAATGATAATGAAGGTCAGTGTTACTTAACTCCTGTGAGCTGCTCTATCCTATCTGCTCACAGTAAGAAAACTGATGAAAAGGCATAAAGCCCAAGCCACAACATCAGGACCAAGAATGAAAAAAATATTCCACATACTTCCTAGCATTTGTTCAAAGGCAAAGACACTCCATATCAGGCATGTAAATGCTCTTATTCTTTGTTGATCAAGTTTCATACCTATTTAAATATTCTATTTGTCAGTCCCATGAGTACTATTTGCAGCACATTTCTCTGCTGATATTCTCACCAGCTTGAGTAGGGAACATACCACTCCATTTCAAGCACCCATTTTAGTTTGCAGACGACTTTTTTTTTTTGGGCCATGAATATGGGAAAGAATGGCATACTGAATCCTGACACTTAGATTTTAACTGTTAAGAACAACAGTAAGAACTATCAATTAATTTCTCCAAGGAACAAAGCTTACTTGTTAAAAAGTGTAATTGGGATGCCTGTGCAGCAAAAATATTAGACTATTGATTCTCAACTCAACTACAGGCTTCTTGTTACACAATTATAGTGTTCCTTGTGACTCAGAGCAGTATCTCCTTAGGAAACCCTTAATTTCAAGTAACTGATGCTATAAACAAGCTTGGTAGGCACTTCTAATATGGTATTTCACAACCTTGGATACCATAGGTGTTGAAAGACAGAAGGGATTAGGGAAGAACTTGGACACACAGTATAATAAAGCCAATTCCTTTCTATTCTCAGCGAAACAATGTATTTTCTGTGCTTCAAACACACAGAACAACCATGAAACAATTTAGGAAGGGGATAGGAAAAAAAGATTTTTTTTGCACAGGGATGAAAATGGTGACCTCTGTAACTTCTCAAAGGATATTTAGTTGAATTTAAATACAAAAAGCAAGTACACGTGCTTGCAGGGGAAACAAACTAAGCAGTTCCTAGTAGCTGACATATAACCTTTTTTTTTTTTACTCTTGGATCATATCCTCACAATACCATTAATTATATAGTAGCAGAATTTAGCCTAGAATTTTCTTAAAATCACACCATATCTCAAGACTCTGGGTCTTCACTGATGTACCAGCAAGTTCACAGGAAAAAACATCAGTTCATACTTCCAACAAAGGTTATTGGACAAGATGGAGCAGCGGAAATAATTCAGTAGAATGCACCAAACACTACAAACACCTGTGGTATTTACAGCTTTTAGAGTTTTAAAATCCAGAGTACACAACAGCCACATGGTAACTTGCGAGTTAGTATTCAGCTTCCGTAGCCACTATCACTTCCTATTAAAGTGAGGAAAACACCAAACGCAAGGTCAAGCAAGAGTCAAACAGAGTGAAACTGAAAAATAACAGCCAGAAAATGTGGCAGTAAAGATGAAATACAAGAAGCAAGATGAAGAGACCTCTCCTTAGATAATAACAAAAAAAAATAGGACAACTGACTTGTCTTAACAGCTCACTGTTTGGAACGCTGGGACACAAAATTCACTCCAGACCTGAAAAAACATGCACAATAATGTGCACTTCTTTCCCCCTTCTGTGGTAAATTAAATAAAACTCACACATAGATAGACCTTAAGCTGTTATTTAAGACTTGTGCATTGCAATACAAGCCTGAATTCAGACTACTGAAAATATTCCAAACCCCCCAATTTTTAAACTCTAAAACTTACCTAAAATAGTTACCACTGTGGCTACAGAATAGAAATGCCGTTATTTGCATGTTAAAGCCATATTATAAAGAGCCTAAAAATTATAAACTCCCATCACTGTACTACTCACAGGAAAGCATGATTAACAGGTCATTGAATGATACTAAGGAGTAACGTCTGTAAACCAAAGGATAAAGAAAGGTCTGTATTAGACTCTTAAAGACTGTACAGGGAAGCATATTTAGAGTAAGAAATACCTAAGTATGACATCTAAATGCATATACCATGAACTGAAGAATTCAGGGGGCTACTAGCAAAGCGTCCTGTTAAACAAGCTGAAGGTATGAAAAGGCAACTTATGACAGGTGGATCCAGGATAAAAAGTGATTATCACCAAGTACGCTATATTGTACTTACGACGTGTTCAGAGCTGATTAAACACCCGCAGAGGTGAATGGTAGCATGGGTTGAAGACACCAGACAGCTAAACCCTACCGTGTACCACTTGGTAAGTAACGCTGAGCTTCATCCTCATTACCTACCACGCTGCCATGAAAAAGGAATAGCAAATCCTAACTCAGACTGAAGCTAGGAGGCTGGATAAAACTTTCAATCTGGTTCCTGGGAAGGAGAGCGCCAGGATGAGCCTGTGGAGCAGACAGCTATAGCTGACATGCCCTTAACTGCCCGAGGAACCCTAAGTCCCCAGCACGACAGTAACAGCCAGAAGACAGCGTAGCAGGGTTCAACACGCTATGAATGAAAAAGGTTTAAGTTTGGAATGGCACTAGTAAAAATAACATTCACGCATATATAGAAAGAAGCTTTAATTATTAAACTGATGATCCCAGAGCAGAAGTAGCTTACTGAGCATTAAAGGCCTCTGAGAAAGCATTACGCTCTCTAGCCCTTCCACCACTCCAGTGCTATTGCTTTTGTCCCATTTAAAATACTTGCCCATTACTTTATATACACACACTCAGATACAGTTTCTTAGAAGTTAAGGGAGAGAACCATGAGGAGAACAGCTCAGAAAGCCTCTGGTCACCATTTCGCTGTAATAGTTTTTTGAAACATGCATAAAAGTACAGTTACTCACAAGTAAGCTTGCAAAAAAACCAAGGATTACTACCCAAAAAAATCTGTGATCTATACAACTAAAGTCTATTTCGAAGGCAAAAGTTAGAGGCTCGCTGTGACGAGTATCCAAATACAGAAATATACATTTTAATCCTCAATGCTTGCTTGGGAACACTACAACTCAGTACGCACAGAGAAATGAATCCTCTCGTCCCAGTGAAAGGCAAAGTAGAAAGCAAGGTTTTGGGTTTGGCTTTTTTTAAATGACAAAATACCTGCCAAACATGTTGTATTATTCCATACAAGAAGCAGGACAATTTTAACAATTAGTCAACTGGCACATCTCCAACGCTGAAAACTGAAATTTTTAAGAAGAGAATCCATTTTATTTTACCACGTACACCTAATTACCAAATTATAATGGAAAATTCGTTTCCATCTTGTTTCTAAATGGTACTGACACGCATCACAAGAATAGTTGATTTATTTTTTTTTTTTTAAGGAATGGATTTTCCCATCACGTAGGAAGATTTTCTTTATTTTCCACCGCAGCCCCCTCAGCGAGGGCCCCAAAGTTGTGTCCCCTTCCAGGCTGCGCACCCCTCGGGGCCACCCTCACGGCAGCCGGGGGGGCCTCGGGCCGGGCCGGCCTCGGGGGCCTCCTCTGCTCCAGGGACCACCCGCTGCCTCCCGCCGGGACCCGGCCGCCGGGAGAGCCGGGCCCACGGCCGCAGCCAGCTCCGGGGCGCAGCGCTAGGCCCCAGCCGCCCGCGCAGGGCTCCGCACACCCGGGCCTTGCAGGGCGGGAGGCGACGCCGGGCCCCGCTCAGCGGAGAGGCCCCGCCGAGGCCGTGACCTGCCGGGGCTGCTCAGCCGCCCTCCTCCCCGCCCCTCACCTCTCCAGCTCCGGGTCCTCCTCC